CATTCCTAAAGAAGGGGCATACACAATTGAATTAGGGATGGAGGGGTAGGGTTAGAGTGAGAGGTGAGTACAAAAGGAATTCTCGGGATGATAGTACCCACACCAAATATTACTCTGCACAAGTACTGTTTTGTGGGTGTTTTACTGTATACATGTTTTCTCCAATCAAATGGCTTTTTTTTTTTTTTAATCTCGAAAGAGTACATTGTAATTCTCGCCAAGATCTCCGGTGCGTCTAAAAAACGAACGCACGTCAACAGCTTTATTACACTTCCGGGTATTGATACGCTGTTGACATCGTCGCATGGCCTGATTCAACACTGCATGAAATATATGGAAATCAAACTATAAAGCTGAAATTTGACACAGTTATCGATTATAGAACTATGTTTTAACCCTGTAAGTTTCATTAATGTTCAAGATTATTAACTCACTGAACGGGGTCACGAAATATTTACTTTAGTACCCATTTGCACGTTTTCCTCGATGTAACACAGCAGAGAGACATTCATTTCAATTATGTTCGTATTTATTCACTAAATAAAACACACCTACAGTAAAAATAGTACTGTTATACATGTATTTACCTTCAAAGTAACTGTATTAATTGCACGCATAGTTAGATATCTGTACATTAACGTGGAGTAGACGTTACTATAAATTCCGACGTCCGCCATATTGAATTTTGACCTTCATGGGGGGTCATTCAGGCAAAGGTTATTATGTTAATGAGGAGCCTCCATTTAGACTGAATAGATCAATTTTTTTTCACAACTTGGTGCATGCCTTATTTTTTTTTTACGAAAGTCTATATCCAATCAAATATGGCCAACTAGCAGGCATTTTGGATGAAAAATCAGCCTCAATCCTAATTTGCATGTTTTTGCAACCAGTAATAGTAATATGACAGTACATTGGTTACTGGTCCAAGATTATTAGTTTACTGCATGTTTACATTGTCTCTGGATCAAACCTTTGAACTTAATTTCTCTTACTTATTCATATGGTTTTAAACTGAAATCCACTAAAATTATTGATGCAGACTTTGTCATCATTTATTTTTATTGTGATTATTGTAATTTACAATGGCTTGTTGAGAATACTGCATTGTAGGGGGTACATACATTAGATACATGGATATAAGGAATCTATGAAATCCATTGCAAAAGGCCCCCTTAACTTCATGGTCCTAGTTATGAATCTCCTCAATCCAGATGTATGCCTTTACATCAAACCTTAGTCTGTTCAGTGTTTTTCGCAAATTTATAAACATTTTCAAAAACAAATATTATAACATTTTTCATAAATTTTCACAGGGAAATTTAAAAAGGACCCAAGAACTGGTGAGAAGATGAGAATCCAGAATGTCCCTATTCCTGTACTCTACCCAAAAGTATCTCAGTCAGCATTGTGGGGAGGAGAAGGATGGATTAAAGGATATAAAAAAAGAAACAACAAAAAGATGAAACCAAGGTGAGTCTGCCATCTCTGATGACTGTCTTGTACTCGTAGGTAAAACAGTATGTTGTGTTATTTTGTGATTCATTAAAAAAGAGCGATTTCATTCAAATTTATGATCAGGATCATGCATATTGGGTTATTCGTGTATACCTTATTCATTTCGGTCAATTTCTAACATCTCTGGTAACATCTATTTATCTGGCTTGTGAGATTTTGTTCAAACTAGAATTTGGTTGCACGTACCTTTTTTCCACCAATTGAACCAAATATTTTCTGTCCATTACAGTACATTCCCAGCAACAACTGATCACATAACTATACACAATGCAAGTATCCCCATAATCCTGGATCACTGCTTGTGATGACTATGCAATCTCAATGCTTGTTAGTCTCCGTTTGAGTGAAGTTCGAAACGAAGATTTAAAATTTGGTCTCTGGCTGTCCATCCGCCCGTCTGGAGTCATATTTCAGAACCCTGTGGACCAAATCTGTTCATTCTTTGCATGTGCCTAGTACATGCAGTGGTTTACTAATCCAAGTTAGCTGACTGGCAGCCATTTTGTTTTTTGAAAATGTGGCATCTTATGCATGCTTTGTCATTTTTTGTTCAAATTTTATACATACATTGTACATTTTAGATTACATGTCTATGACAATTTTGTTTTACAATCGGATCAACGATGGCTGACAGGCCGCCATCTTGCTTTTTGACCATACCTCCAAGGCTTGTGGACCATTTTCATTCATATTTGGCACATACACATTTAGGAATACATGTAATGATGTTCGTATCAATTTGTTCCATAATCAGATCAAAGATGGTCGACTGGCATCCATCTTGTTTTTTTGAAAATGTGGTATCCTGAACAGTATTTGTTGATTTTCATTCAAATTTGATACAAACATTATACATGTTGAGATACATGTCCATGATGATTCGTTTTGTGTTTTGTATTTCTGTACATGAGTCTGGACATATGAAATTCAGTTTGGATGCATGAATAGTATATCCAGTTTAATAACGATTTTGGAAGAGTCATTTAATACATCTAATTTCTATTGATACTAGACCAGCCAATTATTTACTCTAAATTATTAACAATGCTTTTGGTTCATATATGAATTCCAACGGGGATTATGTCATTAACAATGACTTGTTTCGTTTTGTTTTGTTTTGTATCACATACAATAATATTCATTTGGTGAAAAATATAAAACACTGTTTGTTTTTCACAAGTGCTGTACAACCACTGTGGCATAGTAACATATATTAAATAATAATGTCTTACCTTTAGGGTCAGAAAAATATGGAAACCACAAGTGTTCCAAAGATCTTTCTACAGTGAGATATTAGAACGTGATATTGGTCCAATAGGTGTGACATTATCAACCCTAGATCAGATTGATAAATGTTGTGGATTTGATTTCTACATTTTGAAGGTAAGTAATTGGGTGGCAATTGCAGATTTGAGAATGAAAGTTCTACCACTTATAGTTTTATGATGTCATGGAGTGATGACCTCGTACATCAACATTCCTGTGTTTTGTGGTAACTATACAGTAAACAAGCCTTTCAGTGTTTGTCACAGTGTAAGACCTGCTTATTGCAATTGAGAGGACCACCCACAGAACTCACACTGGACAGGGCGTTCTTTCACTGCTAGTATGGGGTAGACAAGACAATAGTACTGGAAATGAAATACACATAGACCAAAATATCAAGATAAAGCTCCTGGCTTTAATACCTCTCAAAATAATTATGAGAAACAAAACACTGAAAAATACAATGAATAAAGTCACCAAAATAGGGGATTGCTTAGAGAAGTGTGCATTGGTGATAACTCGTAGTTCCAGCATGTAATAATGGACGACAGTCAATGGCTTCTGCAACACAACAACGAAGAAAGTTGTAAACACCCTTTGTTATGTAAATCACAAGCACACCTGGTAGATTCCAACTGTCCTTCTAGAGTTGAAAACAAGTATGATCTGTCAATCACCTTCACGACAGTTATCACACGGCAATGTACACTGTTTCTTCTAATGATTCCATGCACACTTCTATTTGCAAAATTTGATGTAATATGACAAAAACAATAAATAAAGGATGACAGTGTTTTTATTCTCTGTTATACATTGTGGTATGCAGAAAAAGATTCCAATGCAAAATATAGATAAGTGGGCACTGTACAAATTGATGCCTGTCTTTGCTAATACTTTCACATTTTGCAAATACATGTAAACAAATTATTAATGGTGTCCGGTTGCAGTCAGTAGTACCTAAGTACCAATTATTTATTACTTCTATAAGGGTTTTCAATGTCACATTGTAGAAAGAAAATATCAAATGAAGAAAAATACACACTCATTTTCTAGCTTCCTTCAATTCGGAGAAATACAAAACAGAATCTGATTACCTTTGCCTTGTACACTGAGTCGGGGTTATCGCTGGTTTTGATCATAGGCTGTAATTATCACTATGATGTTTGTTCATAATCCAAGTTGTCAGTTGTTTAATTGCAAGAATTTATAAGATATAGGTATGCAACTGGTGTGATATTTGTGAGGAAAGATCTTGCCCACATTGGTTAAAATATGTTGTAGTACCGGTACTTTAACTATCAGGGGAATCACACTCACTACAATGTTATCTAAGGCTAGTGTTCCTGAGTCTGACCTCTCACCTTTAATCTCTGACCCAGCATTGATGCTCTTGTTACAGACACCAAGAGAAGATTTGCAATCCAAATTAGGATTGGACCTGAAGAGGCACATGTTGTTAAAATTGTTGAGTAAAGATGAAATGTATCCAGATGATGAAGTAAAAAGGGAGAAAATCTACAATAGATATAAGCAGTTCATAATACCTGTAAGTGTATAAAACCATTTGAATTTGTCTTTCTCCACGAATTGGTCTTTTGGTACATAGTGAGAAAAAAATATTGGTATACTGACAATGACCTATAAAATACAAGTATCCATATTTGAACAAAACACACGCAGTTGATACAGGCAACAGTAAAACAACTTGCAGCATCATCATCCTGGGGGAAATTAATTTAGATTGTTTTTTTACCACTCCTCCTGCAAATTAAAATCAGGATTTTTTCATGGTTCACTCAGAATTTTATATAAAATATATATTCATCATTTCCCCACTCTTGTCATGGTTCGTTTTCTACAACAATCTACTTTCATTCAAAATTTACATCAAACTAGTTTAAATAAACTGGTAATATTTACCTGAATTTATGAGCAATATTCTGTCTGTTCGGTTCAAAATTAACACTGAAATTAGAAACAAGTATTGAAAAAAAGAAACCGTTTGCATCTGTTTGGCAGAAAAAAAAGTGGCAGAGAAATTAAGAATACCAATTAATACAGGAATGCTAAGGAAGGTTGTACATGATTTGGTGGTGCTGGTGTTAAATTTCCCAAAGAAATACTTACGTCTGACTATTTTGAATGATTACTAAATTATCTGTACTATAATGTATTGTAACACTTCTATTAGCTCCTGTTACAATGCTGTTTTTGTCTTAAAAATCGTATTAAAAACAATTTTTCAAATTATGTTTATAAAGAAGTTTTTGCAGGAATGAGTTGTTGCCAAAATTATACACCAAAAATGTTTTGATTGGGGTTAGGTTAAAATTGACTGCATAAATGTTAGCACATCAATTAAATTAATTTAGAATTGTAAATATCATATACTTGTAGTTTATGTGGATTGAGGTCAATTACATTGTATGTATGTCTACAGGATAAGAACCTCCCAAAATGAAATGGTTGAAATAGTCAGGACAAGATATCTTCTATCAATATTTAATATTTTTAGCAAAAACTTTTTTTCTTTTTTTTTTTTACAAATTTTATGTTTGTAACTATTTCTGAGAGTGATGTTTCACATAAGTGTGAATGCAAATTGGAATCCATATTCAAATAAGAGATAATCAATTGTTCTCCCTTGAAAAGCCTTTATTTTTGTGGCCATAATTTGGTGTCGTTAAATTTGGACAAAATTGGCATACCGGTAATTTCACATTGCCTACAGGTTTTTAAAAAAATATGAAAACAACATTATTTTATGAAAGTTGGATTGGTGATAATAATGCTGCATCAACCATCAATACAAGCCACCATCTCTCCTGAACTCTGCTATCATAAGCTGTGAATTCTATCTCTACAGAAAGAACAAGCTGAATGGCTTGGATTAAGCTACAAAGAAGCAATTAATAAAGTCAGAAAGATAGAAAGGGAGAAAAATCCTATCAGCCCATTAATGGAAAAATATACAGAAGAATTAGTTGCAAAGTTAAAAGGTGAATTTAGTAGTATAGTTTTTCTTGTATTTCTGCACTCTCATGATGTTACTCCACATGCAAATTTGTTCAATGGTTTGTTTGTTCTCACCTGTATCAAATGCATTTCAGGCAAAAAACCTTGGAAAGTGTTAATTCTTGTTACCTATATTCACTTCATCTGCAATGTAACTAACAATTTGCAGAACAGCTCTGGGCAAAATATGACACTTTTTAACTTCACTATTGATTTATTTTCAGATCAAAGTTTTGAAGGACCAGATGTTGAACTTGATAAATTTGACTTTCCCGAATCAAGGTAAATTTAAATAAATAAATAACATTTAGATGACAGGGTTAACCTTTTCCTCACCAGTTCCCTCTTTTTAGTCACAAAATAATCCCATTTATAGTCTACACTTTCTTTCAGAAGATTCAGAAGAAAATTGGCCAAATTTTTTGAGTAAAAACTGGAAATTGATTTTAATTTTGTCTGTTGACTCCAAAATTAGGGTTGATTTCCAGAAATATTGAAGAATACAAGAAAAAAAGTGCAGAAAAATTTAAGTGAGAGAAAATCTGGTTGTGAAAAGATTGATGCGTTGCTAAATCTGTATCCTGCTGTTTTACTGCAATCTCTGCTAGATTTATGTTTTACAACAATATCATCTCCTTGGTGTCTTCCAGGTCTGAAAAAATGAAAAAATGGATATTTGGTGGAAAAGATGAGAAGAGCTGATGATACCAGATACGGTTTTGAATTATTGTGAAAAAATGATCTTTAATATTATTTGTCACTCTTTGTCAATAGAACCTCTTTTTATCAAACATGTTTGGTTTGTCAGTGATGGTTATGTTAGTCATGGTTACATCCTGTTTGGGCATGTTCTTTAGACATTAGCACCACTGGGCACCCAACCAGTTTCACTTTCCTCTAATTACAGTCAGCCTCATCTGATACAAGATATTTTTGAAAGACTGCCTAGGGAGCCTTTTTCTTTTGGACTGGATCATTAGAATAGGTTAATATCTGGCTTGGGGGGACAAAATTTAAAATTATTCTGTGGCCATTTGCTGTATCATTCATATTAGTATGAGTGTTCATTGTTAGTTATTAACACTGTCTTATATCCCCTAATTAGCCTCGTATGGGTTAATTGCGATCAATTATCAATTTGTGCGATCAATTATCAATTTGTTTCATTATTTTTGAGGGGAAAAGTTAAAGATGGCAGCAGACTGACCCAATTCTGATTGAGGGTTTGGCAGGAGTTTTCTCTTTGCTATATACCGATACCTTCATGAGGAATATCATTCTTGTGGTCACAACCGTATTTTACGGTGAAGTTTGCATTGACTGAAATTCTAAACAATGGGACTTAGATGCAGACAGATGTAGGCAAGATGTCTCTGTTGCTCAGAAAGCAGGTGCTTCTATATTGGCGAGAAAGCAAGCTAGAACATTCTACTACATATCCATATGTACCTTACATCTAATCGATAGTGATTGAAACTCTTATTCCAAAATAATACACCTCTATTTTGCCGACAGAGTACGGTGTCCTTGAATATGGGCCTCATGAGTTTAGTTCTTAAATTTTCTTTCAAATTATTAGTTGACCAAGAAATCAAATTTGAAACTACATATAAGACTATTGACACAGGATGAATACTTCTCCAAATAAGCAGGAATTATTTATGCCACCTATGGTGGTCGAAAACACAGTCAGCTGGCGTACAAGTGATAATCAAATAAATGCAATTAATTTACTATATGGGGCAGCTGTCTTGAATACAGCTTATTTCGTTTTCAAGCCATTTTCAAGTTGGCTGCCCCCATATAGTGAATGTCGTTAAATTCATCTTATTTATTTTATTATCACTTACACGCTAGCTGACTGTGGTCAGGTATTCCAGTTTAGCATTTCTCTGTGACAATTGTGAACTTGTTGGAATGTGTGCACAATATTCCATTCCCCCATCACAAACAACCATCTTGTCATGAAATTCAATATATATTTTTTTTAATTTGTGTGTGGTAAGTGGATCCCATTCCAACAGGCTGAGTGCCTTCACAGGTTCAAATCAAATTTCATTGCTGGAATATCAATGAGAATCTCGTTACCTTATTATGGGAGATACAAAAGCTGTAGACTATGTACAGCTGATGGACACTTATTTGCAAAATGTGAGTACTTAACCTTTGGCAGCACTGGGGTGTTAAACTGTGAAACAACCTGTACTAGTAAAACAACTGATTACTGAGAAGTAATTTCGAGATGATCATTATACCAAATACATGCCAGAATCACTGCTGTCAACAAGTGTATTGGTGCTTGTAAATTCTGATTAAAATGAGCAAGGTCTTTTCAATCAGGCTCACACTTTCTAGCTGTAGGTCTTGGTGCTGCCGAGAATTCACGGAGAGTCTGTCTGGGTGAATAGAGGTGAAGTTGTACTCTATCAAGTGACCTCGTACCACCCAGACATTTTGAGGAATTGGTAGGCTTGGACAACCCATTATAGGAAGTAGTCCACGTACCTGATATGCTTGAAGTGGTCATGCACAATGTATTTTTTTACAACTGGACATTTATTACCGTGCACAAATGGTAAACATAGCTACAAGAAATGGATATAGAAACAGAACAATCCTCAATGAGTCTACCAGCAAATTTCGCTGAAAACATGCACAAGATTTGTTTGCGAAAGAAGCTGCTTCGCCCTATAGATCTGAGCAGACTGATTCAGTACATCCTGACAGACCAATTCAGAATGAAAACTCCAGCTTGTGTGTGCTGTTGCGTACACTTTCACATTTTCTTAGTCCTGTTAGATCTAAAAGACGCATAATTTCATGTAAAGATTCACCCTGGAAATCACTGATATCTGACCTTCAGGGAAGTAGCAATTTAATATTTTCTCTTTCAAATTGAAGCTTGCCTCCCTGTGTGTTTACAAAATTGGGAATCCCAGTAGCATTGCTAAACCTGTATCTAGATCGGCTCTCACAAAATAAGCAGAGAATATCACACATCTTGCACTTTTTAGGTTTTATAGTAAAACTGCAAAAGTTGTTTTCAACTTTTACATATTCTAACACAGCAACGGGGATTGCAAATTAATTTATCATCTCCTTCAGAAGCGAAATTTAACTGGAAATATTAGCCTATAAGAGAACGCTAGACACCTCCGAGCGAGGTGTAGAACAAGAAAGTGTTTGTCTGCTGCAACAATTCAAAGGTAGCAGCTTATGTCACCTAGCAGAGGTCATAATCTGTGTTGCTGATGCAATATTGCAGAAATATTTCAAAAACGACTGGAATTTCTCCAGGGCCAAGTAAATGAGCTTGTTCACCCTTCGTGAGAGGCACTGTTAACAGGAAAAGTGGGATTTAACGTAACTGCAATTTGCATACCCTTTCTCGTACAATTTGTTGAATTGTTTTGCCTGGTCAGAGCACTGCATAGGTATTAATATAGAACCAAAGAGATCAGGCGGATAACAAACAGCTGTTATGCGACTGTAAGATAAGCATGGTTTGACTACTTGTATAATGTTAAATTGTCATCTAGGTGAATTAATTTTACTAATCGGCCATCGTTCCAAAAATACAAAGTCGTGCTTGTCACTGGGCAAAACAACACACCATGTCATCAGCAATAAATTAACAATAATTAAAATTACAATAATAATCGATGAGTCATACTCGGGGACGGACTGGGACTTTCCCGTTTCCAAAAAAAAGGGGGGGGGGTAGTGGTATTGTGGTATATTGTCTGTCATAACAGAATTTTGCATCTCCTAAACAAAATTGAACATTTAGACATTGTCTTTTATACAGCCATATTACAGTCACTTGTATGCTTGCATTTTGAAGAGAAAAAAATTATACTACTGTTATTTGTAACTGACTTTGCCAGCATTAATAACACTGAACAATCATTTTCAATGTTGGCTATTAATTGTTGGAACAATTAGTGGGATCCGACAGCCGTAGACCGGATGGCCGTTCTAGACTTTTCCAGACACATAGATTATCAGTCCGCCCCTAGTCATACTGGTATCAATTATTTAAAAGACTGTTTTAGAAAATCTTTGGAAGCATGTCTGATATATTTAATACAGTCGGGTAGTGAGTTTCAATGAGAAGTTGCTGTGTGTTTGAAGTTGTGTTTACTGAAGGACGAGATTATTCAGTCTGGAAATTAGTAAATTCTTGGCGAGTTTGATAGTTGTAAAATATCCATCGATGTCATTGGCGAAACAAAGTGTAGTTCAAGTCAATATGAAGTGGCAAGTTCATATAATGCATAGTTGATGGATGGCTGGGATTTCAAGTTTGTGAAAGAGAAATCTGAGAATGTGAAACTGACAATTGTTTTTGTAAGAGCAAAATAGGCTCCAAAGATACTCTATAGGCGTTTCCCTCAGACTTCTAGCCATTATATGTGCTAAAATAAGTGAGTTGCATAGTAATATGAGTATGTATCAAGTATGGACAGTGCCGTAATAATCTCTATTTCTGGGCAATGGCTTTACTTACTCTTTCAATACGAGTTTTCAATAAAGACAGCTTTAAATTATAATACCATGAACAAACAAGTAATTCACTGCCAAGTGAGCTAGCTATACACGTGGTGCCCCATGCCACATCTAACCTCTAAAATAACACACTGAACCTACCAACACCGTTCTGTACACATGTGGTAGTGGAGAAATCTATTCTACAATACAAATATTACAGTGTAGAAAAAAAAATAGAGAAAATATAAAACAAAGCAGAGGGGGATTGGTTTTCTCTAGTTAACTTCGCATAAACTCTAAAATGACGAGTGGCTAAGACACATTAAAAATCCCCTGAATCGACTATTCAACTTAAACTTCTGCAATTGATAACACTCTATGCAAAATACATACCTTCATTTACCATTCTGATTAGGTATTTCAATGCAAAATGTAAAGTTTGGGTGTATTTGAAAACTGAACGTTAGTTCAGTAAGAATTATTATTTATTGGAAAAATGAAGGATACCTTCAAATCTCTGTCACCTTACATTTTAACATGAACGTAATATCAAAGACTCATTCAATGACGTCAATAATGAAGTTAAGAGAAAGCACAATTAGAGAGGTGAACAACTTAACGAAAAAGAGTGAGTCAAGGATGCAAGCATGAGTACTGATTTCATCCCGAACCTTACAAATGTGTCGATATGACATATAACGATTTTCAAAGTATTCGTAATTTTGAGTTAAATTATGCTGTTTTGATTATTATTCTACTGCAATTGGTTCCCATAAGCGTTCAAAAACAATTGCATAAAGACATTCTCTATCAGTCACACAGCTGGTACGAATTCTTTACAAATCTGCATTGAGTTTGTCTTACTATTCATAACTAGTTTGGAACCTAGATCAGTGTTCATCCATATAGATGTCGTACAACTAGTTGATAATTTCATAACCCTTCGTCTCTCTAAGCCAGCACAATAGAATGACTACACAACAAAATGCTAAATTGGTATCTTCTATGGGATCAGCCCCCTAAAAACCACTAGTCTTGACAAGATCAAAACAATTTTGTAAACAAAAAGATTCTGCTCCTGGATATACAACTGTACCTAAGAGTTGAACTTGTACCTTCATGTTAACTTAATCAGTGGTAGAGGGCAGCTATAAAATTATGTTCACTACTCCCCCAGCATTAAAAGCAAGAATCCCAGATGGTTTATTGACAAGGAATCTAGACAAATGACACAAATTATACAAGTTGATGTCGCTCTTTGATAGTCATGGGTTCAATCATCAAAGCGAATTGAACCCAATG